CTGTGCCAATGTCATACCGCCCACGGGGCCTAATCTCTGGGTTTGAATTCAGAGTTTTCTGTCTCATCGACGACTGGACATCCAAGTTGAGCGAGTCACATCCAACCCGCGTGCTGGTGGAGTTTTTGCTGGTCTAGACTCATGAGGATTGAACTCCCGTTCACAAACTTGGGATTGCCTCAGCTTAGACCCCACTTGGCCACCCATTAGCATCTGATTCAGTGTTAACCGTGTTACTGAATCAGAATGTTTTTACAATCGCTAAACTGCGTGTAAGACTTAGACTTTGTATTTTAAAAAATCGGACAATTTTGTATTTTCAATTGAGGGTCGAAGAAAATCTTCCAGTACAATTTGCATTAGAATGTAACATACCGCCAGGCCGAATTTGATTAGTTTATTGAATGCAATATTCAAGACCTAATTGGGTAAAGATGACTAAATAAAAATCGTTGATAGGGCCAACAATATTACGTTTATGTGAATAGCGTTACAGATTACCAGTTTAGAAACAGTAAGCCGTATGTAAAGACAGTATTTTGTAAAAAAAAAAAAAAAATGGAGCCTACACTATTTCCAAACTAAAGTTGGGCCTGGTTTAGATTTGTCTGGTATAAGTTTGTTCAAATATGTGTATCTGGATACAAGACAAGTGTCTGAAAAAAGCAGGCATAATAGATTCGGTACACGCGTTTGGGGATATTTGATAGAAATGATAAGTGCATGTCTTTCTGTTATTTCTACTGCTACATGTAAGGGCATGAACCCGGTGTTCGGGCGTGGTCCTTGTTCACTAATGTACACGTTTAATTAGCTTTTCATTTTATTAGCTTTTTTTTTTTACCATCTTCACCAACCCTTGAGCATAAATGACCTGATTCATTATGACAACCCTCCCCCTTCCCCCCACCATAAACCCCTGATGGTTCAAGTTGCATATAATAAGTTCTACTTTGCGGGAATTTCATTTTCATGAATTAAAATAGTTTTGTTACACTTCACAATTACATACTTGTTTCGTTATTGATGCATGTTAAATCTCTGTTAAATATTTTAAGACAATTGACCGGAGATTTGTTTTGTTTTGGTTTTTGTTATAGAAAAGGCGTATCCAAAGGAGATGGCCTTTGACTGGCGACACGCTTGATTATGCAGTCGTTTTACTGATACTAGATTTAGCGATACATACATTAACAATTACAAAACCATTATTTTAAGAATTTCAAGTTGTATTATAATCGACGCAATTTCTAGAATTTCTTTACTGGAGGGTTCTAACTCTCCCCTATAAATAAGCCGGCAGCTTTGCCAACCGGTGCCTCGCTGTATGGGGTTCCATTGGGCTATCCAGGTACGCTGAGAGAGGCCATTTGCCGGCTAGGGAACCAGCTTGTAGTCCTAAAGAAAATATCTCAGGCCTTTTGATTTCGTTCTGCAAAGTACCACAATTGGCACATTGTGACAAACGGATGCCAGTTTAAAAAAATAATAATCTAAAGTCATTTATAAAGGATCAAGGTAAAAAAATGCCAATATCTTCTCTGAGTTGTTTTTTTTTCTTTTTAATTTAAAAGACTGTTGAGCTTGAGTTTTGCCCTTTTAGAAATCCTTTGCTATGGACAATGAGACCGCTTCTCAAGATATGCACCTAAAAATATGTTTCAGATCCCCCCAGAAACGGGGATCTATTTCCAAGCATTGGATATTTACAATCTTAGATTCATGCCATAACGAGTTAGGGTGTACTTTCTATTTTCCCAATTGTGACCGGTCTTGTTTCAATCTAAAACAATTTTAACTATCATCTTTGTTATATCCTTTTTATTTCCGTTAGTTCCTCATAGGAGTGTCCGTTAACACATCTACTAAGGACGCATAACCAAGTTTCTCATGCGAGTGTCCAGCAATACACCTACTAAGTATTCACACCCACGTTTCTCATAAGGATTGTCCAGAGATACATCAACTAAGGACGCATAACCCAAGTTTCTCATAGAAGTTACCAGTAATAATAATGACGTTTAACAACATCAACAAAGAAGAAATCGGTTTTACTTTTGCAACAATTTAATTGTTCTCAAAACA